AGCGCCGGCCCTTCGGCCGCCCGCCAGCCGGCCAAGCGGCCTGCCAGCTGCACCATCTCAGGGCTGACATCAGTTAGGGTAACAAATCAAAGGAGATTGGGTTTCATGGGATGTTTAGCAGTATTAATGACGCGGCGAATTGATTTGAGTCCTTTATCAGGACATTACATGCTCGCTGGCATGGAGCACTTTAAGCAAGTTCATAAACACAAAGAATCGATTGACACTGCAGCCTCGGAGCTCAGCACCAAATTTGATCTGATTACATGCTGTCAGTAGTGAAAATGCTGCTTTGTGATCAATGATAAATGTTTCATTTTTCATACTCAATTCAATAAAATTATCATGTCTTACCATGCAAGCTCAGTTAGATAAATTAGTGCCATATCCTTTCACAAGCCCTCTCTACATAACCAAGCTTTTGACAATGATTTTGGAGACCTGCTTAGCTTAAGAACGCTACAAGATTGAAGTGACACAGCTTATGCTGACGAAGCCAATCATTACCTCTTTTTCAGCTTCTCGCTCTTCTTCAGAAACGGCGGCATTAGAAATTAAAATTGGGGTCCACCTCAGACTCTCTGGATCAAGTTCATTGGACCGAGAACAGGTTTTCAGCTTTTCCATGTGGCCCAATATCAACTTTTCTCTTCTAATGATAACAAATCTGTAATGTGAGGAGGCAGAACAAAGTGCAATCAAAAGCTGAAATTTCATTTCACCTTCACATAATGACATATGCTAGCACTAATATTACCTGGGTGAGGAAAAATCAGAAAGCTTGTCAATGAAAAGGTACAGCAAATTGAAATGTGACCAGCAAAAAAGTATCATTTCCTGTTTTCTTTTTAGAAGTAAGGTTTTTAATGGTACTGTTGGGGAACCTCTCATCTTTAACTAGAATGAATCTGCCTGACTCCAGGGATCCTTTCTGGTGTGAGATGCTTGAAAGGCAGCTGGGGTTGCCTGGGGCACCAGGACTCACCTGCCGTCCCTCTTGTCAATCATGTGGAGGTGCTGCAGAGTGGTGGCGATGTCATGTGGACACATGCCTGTAGCTCGGCTGATGGCCTTGATGCTGATGTGCCTCTCATGGTGGTGGAAGAGATACTCTAAGATGACGCTCTTCCAATAGGCCAGGTAGGAGAGACGGCCCAGATCAGAGAGTGGCTTTTCAGGAGACCCTGCTTGGCCTTCTCTTCTAGAAAGCAAATAGCCTACGGCAGAAAAAAGCATAGTCAACCTCATGGTGGTGTTTTCAGACACTGGAACAGGGGCCACTCAAAATTATATAAGGTAGTAATATAAGGTAAAAACATCCATCAGAAGTGTATGAATTTTACACACGTAGTCTCTTTCCAGTTACAGTGATTTGATCTCCATGAAGTTTCTGCTTCTGAATCTTTTATTGTGACACTGTGAGTCAACTCATACAGCTAAGCAGGAGCACTCCAAATACACACTGTGGTATTTTAACAAAACCAGGGCTGAAGACATTACTGCTGATAAGTCTCAACATTCAGGTCTCACACCAGCTTTAGATGCTTTCAAAAAGTAAATGTCAGGCACTTACTAAGAAATCCTGTTGAGGGACCACCCCAAACATTAATGGGCAAGTTGTTATCCACAGGAAGGACCTAATGACCCTTTGACAGCTGGGTCTTAATAAAAGAGAAGGGCCTCCGTTGACTCAGATCCTATATTGCTTGTTACATTTAACTAGCGGGCTGATCTGAAGCTTTGTTTTAAGACTAATGAAAGAATGTCTTTTAAGTCAACGGCTACAACTCACATGAGCTCTACTAGCTCTAATTTCACCTCTTTCATGGAAATTAATTTATAATCCAAATCCAGAACACCGTTTCTATGAATTAACACAAATAAAACAAAACAACTTCCTTAAAGCAAACTGTTTCATATATACTCAGAAAATCCCTGAGCAGGGTAAGCTTTTGAATGTGCATTTTACAGCATTACAGTGAAGGTTTGTTGGAAATAGAACTTTAAAATGAGCAAAACTTTAAATCTACTTGAAGGTAATGAATAAAAGCTGGCGGCTGTCTTGGTAATTAAGAGCCACTTACAGAGTAGAGAAGAAATGCTATAAACTAATGGTGTCTACCTTGCTCTAATTATCTATTTCAACAGATTCACCTTCATGAACTTCCTCAATTTAAACAAACATCAACCACATACAGTAGGTGGCAGCAATTACAAAATCATGCTGCTCTGTAAACCACCCAAAATCTTCAGCATTTTTCTTCTTTATCTACATTTCCAAAATGGCTGCATTCTCAAAAATTTTCTCGATTTGGGATTTTTTGTTAAAAGGAGGTATGCTTCTGATGCACTTTCCTGCCTCTCAGAATCACAGTAAATAATGCAGAAATACAGAACAAGAAATCCAGCCTGAGCCTAGAGGGCTGTAACACAGCATTCTGCATTTTGATGGTTTTAATCTGAATGCCGTTATAAAGAATAGGCATATGTTTAACTTTAGGTTTTGGTCCAGTCTTTTGACTTATTTGTGTCTTTAACTCATGTTTAAGTGCAAAGGATTTGATTGAATGCAAACAAGCACCACAACATTTTATAGTCAAACCACTGATCACATGCCATTCGGCTCCACACAGAGGCTTTCGAGAGCAGTGTGTCGGGAATGCTAACAGGATGGCCACTGTGCTGAATCCGGTCCAGCCCATATCGCTTGTGCCCCGTCAATATGGAGAAAAGCTCTCTGTTGCCAGAGTACAAAGGGTGCCCAAATCTCAGAACAGATAATTGGCACATCCGTCACCTGCCTCCTAAGTGCTTGAAACATGCTGAGAAATTTACTCAGTCAGCTGGAGGTCCCAGCTCTGTACTCCTGGGGTGTAGAGAACCATAGAGCCATGGACATGGAACTATCCCCCTTTTGTCCATGAGATCCCACAATTAAAAGTCCCCTGCAGTGACTGTCAAATTCCCTAGCCCCTCACTGGTTCTTATCTGAACCCCACAGTTGGAGACAGAAAGCAAACACCCCCCCAGCGTAGCAGAAAGATTTCTGTGAAACCCAAATGGTCAGAAGGTGGCATGTGCCCTCCCCACCTTACATCCCCCACAAGCAGCAACCTTACGCAGAAAGCGCATGTATGTCTTTGTTCTGTCTTCTCCCACAATCTATACTCTGGGGTAAGAGGAAGCAGCCAGAATCCCCCCATATATTTTACACAACTGTTCATGTTTTCACACCTGAGGTAGTACAGATACACCTGACCAGGGCCTGAGTTGATGCTGGTTAGGCTCCTGGAACTATCTGGCTAACTAGGGTCTGCAGAGAGCATTTAGGCAAACCTTTCAGCTCTTGTTACTCCCACCAGGGTAAGTGGCTGTCTCCAGGGACACCCCTTGGACACAGTCTGTGGCTGACACTGCTACCAGAGTCCTGGCCTTAAGAGGGTGGGGGAGGCGGCAGCCTGCAGAGTGCACTGGACTTTCACAGCAAACACCTCCGTATCTACCACACCAGCAAAACCATCAGCAGGTTTTCAGAGACGATACACATCAACATCACAGACCACACAGCGTCACTGCACCGCCCCCAGTTAGGCTTTCCCTCTCCTCTCCGACCTCATGAAACTCTCTGGGAACTTACAACAATGAAAGGAACTTGTACTAAGAGACATCTAAGTCCACAAAGTCTCTGCCTGAAGGAGAAATTGTGGGTTTAAATGGAATTGAGTTCCTCAATCAGGACCAAAGATACATTTCTGATTCCTTACTAGTTAAGTGGAATCACCTGTAATTCATTAAACTATATAGCAGAGAAGAAGAAGTTGTGTCATGTCTACTCTACTCCATTTGTGCACTAGGCTGATGTAACATGTAATTTACATTGTACCTGCGACAGGCACTGTCCCTCAAAAAAGTTGGAACTGGCGGTTGCCCTTCACCACTTTGACCTTCACAGAATGTTTTAAAGAATAAATTTCTTGCCTTCTTTTGTTTCCTTTTACTTTTCTAGGCTTCTCAAATCATAATTACTATACAGCACACTGATAATAATTTTTGGTAAGAATATTTATTTATTAAGTAATTATAGAGATGTGCTGGTTTAAGTTACAGCTCTTAAATTTAACTTACCAAAAAGATTCCAAAAAATTGATCTAAGATGCAGGGAAATAAAAAGCACTTATCTTGGAAGCCAGCGTATTATCCTGAAGCATCTGAAACAAGTACAATACACCCCCAGTGAATAGGTTCCCATGGTGCTCTAACACCTTTCCTAACTCAGGATACTTTCGATCAGAAACCTGAGCTATCCCTGGAGAAGCCTGGCTGTTCAGACTGAAAACAAAGTGATATTTGAAGGATAAACCCCAGTAGCTGCAGTATAATTAATCGCTGGTGAAATTATTCCCTTTAAATTGTCTGTGAGCAGAGGTGCTGGTGAGCTGCACTCACTCTGCAATCCGGAGACTTGTAATTGGAAGCCGACTGGCCCGGAAACGCCTCACCCACAGCAACTATCTTGATACCAGTGAAAGCTGGCTTCCTCTTTTGTTCCAGTGGCAGGTGAGGCCTGAGTTTTAGTGCAAGGACCACACAACACTTAATTCAAAAGGTTATCAAGGTGTTTGCATAAAGGTTAGGTAAGAACAATGGGATGTCTGCAAAAGGAAAGCATTTCTAAGCTTTACCACAGGGGACCCAAATTCACCTCACCTCTGTTAAGGGTGACCTACTTGTAGTAAGAGAAGCAATTGTCATGTTAACTAGCCCTGATCCCCCGTGTCTGAAACGGCTAACTCCTGGGTGGGGGTGGTTAGAGCGATGCCTTCCTGCACAGATTCATTAGGATAAGGGAGGAACCACTATCTAGACAAGGTCAAGATTGATGTTTGCAGACCTAACTTCCCAAATTAATTGAACTCCCAGCATATTAGCTGCAAGGTTAACCCTTTTAAAATAGGAAACATTCCTTCCTTCTAAACTAGTAAGATTTCGAGACTAGTCTGGACTGAACATGAAATGTTTTCAGGCAAGGTGTGGACGTGGGTAAGGATTTACCCCCCAAAGGCGGCCACCCCCCAGCCTCGCACACCTTCATTTTACGCCACCTGGAGCCAAACCATATGAACTTCCTCAAATTCAAAAGTGTCAACTCTGGCAGGCGACTCCCAATCCCCATCTGTCTGAATTATGTGTTTGGGCTAACTAGCTGCTTTTAGGAGGAAGATAATCTTCAAGGATTACACACCTTTCATCAGACACCTGTTCAGCTCAGCAAACCCTGCTGAAAGTTCCTATCAGTAGACAGCACTGGATTTGCAAGCCTGGGAACTGACACCAGCCAGGGATTTATGGCAGCTCTTGAGCAGAGGAAATCCAATAGCTCTAACCATGTATCTCATGATTGGGGACGGAAATTCACTGGTCTACACTCATCAGTTACTAGTATCTGGCTCTGTGACCAAGTGGATGAATAGCATGTTATCAGTTTAAATAGTGATAAATGAACTTGACAGGCAGTGCATGTCTCCTTGCTGAAGCTGAAGCTCTGTGGTGATTTTGCAATTGGTTTAAAAAGGAAGCTGAAGCTTAGTCTTCCCATGGTTTTCCCCTTAAAAAAAAAAAAAAGTTTTTATTGATTTTGGAGAGGGGAAGGGAGAGGGAGCGAGAAAACCATCCATTGGCTGCCCCTGCACAGCCCCTACAGGGCACTGAGCCCTGATGGGAATGGAACTGGGGCCTTTTGGTGCAGGGGTGGCACTCAACTGACTGAGCACAAGGCCTCGGCCACCTCCCCACTGTTTTAAGAGGACAGGAGTGTTCTAACGACCTGTGACCTCGACCGCCTGGACTCTTACTGCTTGCCATTTATTAAAAGATGTAGATGCCTCCTAGCAAAAACACAAATTTTGAATTTTTTAGATTGTATCTATTTTAAGAGGTTGGTTTTGAAAATGTGGCTGTATAAGACATCTCTCCCATGATTCTGTGGGCTTGAAGTAATTATATAATAACTTGAATAAATATTTCTTGACTTCTCAACAGATTTCTTAGTCCATTTCCTACAGAGCAGTGGTTTTCAGGGGGTGAAGGTGGGCAGGCCGGCAGTATCAGCATCACCTGGGGACTTGGTAGAACTGCAAGTTGTCAGACCTGCGAATTAGAAGTTTGGGGGGCAGGACCCAACACCTGTGCTTTAACATGCCCTCCAGGTCACTATAAT